CCCACTACGTTATAAACCAGTTCGCTAACCAGTTTGAACCAGTTTGAATGACCCTGGTTCACACTTAAACCGAATCCCTGAAGCGGTTTGGCAAGCCCCCCCCACTAGACCCATTTAACACATGTCTTTTTGACCCTCATTCTCCCCCCTTTTTTTGCAATAAATCAATTCAGCGCATGTGTGAATGGGATGCAGATTGGAATCAATTTAAATTTGCCCTTTAAATTTGCCAGCCGGCTGAAGAGAGTCCATTTTGAATTGATTCATTAGTCAATGTGAATAACAAGTGAGTTATTTTACAACAATAAAATGTAATTGGGGCAAATGTAGTGTAAATCATGTTCTGCTGTCAAACCAGTCCATCGATTTGGATCGCAAACTGATTTATTTGTAAGTGGGAATGACGCTACACTTTTTCAGCTGCTTTTAAAATGTCCCAGTTTCTGTTCTTCCCCTCATGTTCCCATATTGTTCCCTTGCTTCAAACTGAGTTCAAGGTGCAGAAGTACTTTTCATTCAAATAACTCAGCAGGAGGAGAAGAGAAGACAGAATGTTGTCCTTCCCAGTAGGCTCAGACAGAAGCAAATTGCTCTAGCCTCTCCTAGTTTGTGTGTTTTTCCTTATTAATAACATTTGCCATCCTGACCACACACTGATGGTGCTTGGCCACACATGTGCCAGTTTTAAGGTGTGAAATGTTGCAGCATATGAAAATTCTATCTTGCTTTCTTTCACTCTTTCTTACTCCTTATATGCATCCCTTCCCTACCCCCCCCCCCCCAACAAAAGCACACTGGAATTTATCACTCCAGTCTGCTGCCCCACCATAATCACACTAGCTTAAGAATGAAAGCATACCATTTTGGCATCATTTCTTATTACACTTGTCCCCATGATAGCATCTCGGGATCTGTTTTCCGCACTGCCAAATGCCACTTTTGGGATGAAGGAGTGAATATGCACACAGTAGACAGCTTCAAGAAGCTGTTGGTAGTGCAATTGCTGTGAGGGAGACAAATGGGGAGAGGAGAGGAGAATTAATGCTCACTCACACAACATGACTGTATGGGAAATGGAACTGCTGCAGAAAGGATCTATTGCACAAAGGCAGTAATTGAACAGCAGAAAGATTGAGAGCCTATAGATGGTTTTTGCCTGTTAACAAAAACGTGTAGCACAGAAATGAATGGAATGCAAGGCAGCAGCAGGATGGACAGAACGTCATGTGATAACTACTGCCAAAGATGCTTTTATCATCATCTTCTTTTTGCCCTCCTGTGGTAGAGAAAGCACTAACAAAGTGTGTTGTCCATCAATACAATCATTCCTTCCATAATGGGTTTTTGCTAATAAGGAAAATGGATGAAGCAGTGAAAAAATATAGGAAGATTAGAAGTAGAAAACATCTTTCTGAGGACTCACTGAAAATCCCAGGAATGAAGAAGAGTGATTGCACACACAAAAACCCTTGCCTGAATTATCCTTAGCTAGTGGTGGCTTTGTTGGCTGTAGATGACTGGAGCTGCAATAAGACAAGGATGAAGGATTCAAGAGTGGGGAAATCTGTTCTATCTTATCCTTCAGGTTGGTGGTGGCCAGCCTTCAATCTCACATTTTAGGAAAAACTATTGAATCTGTTGAAGGAGAACATTCCTGGATGACATCCATTCCCTGTCCCTGAGCCCTTTTAAACTAACACAGTCACAGGACGTTGTTCCACTTTAATTGTCATGGTTATGCCCAGCTTGGATTTGTAGCTTTGTGTGGTATTTAGAATTCTGAGTTGGAGAGCTCTGATGCCTCACCAAACTACAAATCACAGACTTCAACAGGATGCTGCCTTGTCAGATGAAAGGAAAACATAGTGTTATAAGTGTGTAGTGTGAGAGGGCCCCCTATTTACTCTGTTTTGCTTCAACAGGAAAAGGAGAAATAACACCATTCTGATATTGCTGAGTCTCTCAGAAGGTTTTGGCTCAGTAGATCACTTAATATTTATTGCATTGCCTAGAAAATCTGGCCAGGTGCAAATAACACAAGAATTATGTTAATATTTTCTAGCCACTCATATCTCATCCAGATGTGATGGAAATAGCCAATAATTGTGGATCCTTGTATGTGGCTGTGGTGTACCTCAGGATATCTCACTCCAATCACCACTGTTCAAATGGTATAGGAAACAATTGAAAAAGATCATCCAGAGGCTGAGAGTGAGATATCTGCTTCTAATTTTGCTTTTCTACCAATTTGAAGATGGTAGTTATTATTCCCTAAGCAAACCTCTCACAGCTGCAGCCAAGTGGAAGTGGTTGAAGAGACTGAAACCAAGTCACACACACCTGGTGCATAAGCCAAAGGTTTCATCCCAGAATTTTCTGCAGCACTGCAAAGGACCCTGAAACATCTCCCCTCAGCTCTTGAGGGGCTGTTGTCCACTTTCTTTGGTTATATATCCTTCCTGATTGTCCATTCTGTGTCTGAAAGTTGTCAGTATGCTGCACCACATTTACAGCATGTTATACAGTGCAAATCTTACCATTGTTGCTGTTGTTGTTGTGTGCCTTCAAGGCATTTCTGACTTGTAGTGACCCTAATGCAACCTTATCATAGGTTTTTTGAGGGCTGAGGGGGTTTGACTCACTCAAGGCCCGCAGGAGTAGGCAAATTGTCCCCTTTAAGGGCCGAGGGACTTCAGCTCCCAGAAGCCTCAACCATGTTGGCCAATAGTCCCATGTTGGGCAATAGCTCCTGGGATCTGGGAGATGAAGTCCCTCAGCCCTTAAAGGGGACAGGTTGCCTACCCCTGCTCAAGGGTTTCCATGGCTGAGGGGAGAATTGAACTCTAATCTCCAGAGCCCTAGTCCTATGCTGTAACCACTACAACATGCTATCATGTTTAGCCAGAAGTCAGTAGGACTTACTGTTACTTTCATTTGTGTACATGTGCCGTCAAGTAGCTTGTCAATTTAGGGTGACCCAATTAATTTCACCTAGTTTTCTTTGGCAAGGAATATTCAAGAGGTGGATTTGCCTGTTCATTCCTCTGAAAGGAAGCCTTCAGCATCTGGGATTCATTGGTAGCCTCCCATCCAAGTATTAATCAGAGCTGACCCTGCCTAGCTTCCAAGACTTGTTGGGATCTGGTATCTTTAGGGTATTTAGCAATAGCAATAGCAGGTACATTTCTATACTGCTTATCAGTGCACTTAAGCACTCATTAAATAGTTTATTTTAGCAATCTACAGAAGGATGCCAGGCTGAGTTGACCCTGAGCCCCTGGCTGGTATTGAGCTCACAACCTTGTGGTTTGTGAGTGAGTGGCTTCAATACAGACATATAACCACTGCACCACCAGGGCTCTTATTTAGGCCCTTTCATACCAATAAGAAATTGCATCCTTAACCTTCTAAACAGAACCAGTTCTTCCACTTCTTGTAATCAATTCTTGGATTACCTGGGTAGTTGTTTCCTTTCACCTGTTCCAGTTTAAATTCCTTCTCCTTACATCTAGGTGACTAAAATGAGATAAAAGTGCAAATATATCTTTTGTCTAGATTTTGGGCCACTTTAGGTATGCTTCCTGTTCTGCTCTGTGAATACCACTCCTAATATTTTATACAAAAACAGTCTTTGCTTGCTTTGTACTGGGTAACAATTGTGGTTTTATAAGAATTGGCCAAGCTCCCAGGCTTCTTCCTGCCAGGTTTATTTCCAGCTAGAATTGTCAGGTAACTGAATGCAGACGGGGACAGCTTTTCTGTGCCTTTAACAGCAGTTTGATCAACTGGGCAAAAAGATCAATCTGCTGTTAAAAAGCACAGGAGTAGGGACACTTCCCTAAAGTTCAGGGGACAGAGACCTATAGTTCCTGTTTAGTACCTAAGGTGTTAGGAGGGGGATCCTTTTGCTATTAATTTCAGAAGGGTAGCCATCTAACAAAAACAATCAGCTTGCTTTAGGATTAGAAATAATATTCTCTATCATTTATTTCCTAGTTCTAAAAAAAAAAAAAAAAGAAAGGTTTCCCAACTGCAAGGAAGAATAACATAGCAGTAGAGCTAATGTGGTGTAGTTGTTTGTGCATTGGACAAATATTACACTGTACACTGTACACAGGGAATATAGTGTAGATCAGGGTTCGATTCCCCCGTTTGGCCATGGAAACCCACTGGATGACCTTGGTGAGTCATATACCCCAGTCCCAGAAAACCCTGTGATAGAGTCACCTTAGGGTTGCCATAGGTCAGAAATGACTTGAAGGCACACAATACCAACAAATATTTGTACACAGTTTCTCCCAGTATTTTAGTATCCTATTTTTTCCAGGGGATTTTCCTGCAGAGAAATGAATGCTCTTTTGGTTGCAAAAACACATCTTCTACACAGGAAATACTGTTTATGTGCAGAAAATGTGTTTGTTTTTGTGTGTGTAGGAAATGTGGTTTTTTTTGGGGGGGGGATGTGTTTTTCTGTGCAGAAAAATCTTCTGGAGTGCTTCAGGATGCTCGAATACCAGGAGAAAACTGTAGTAATTAAAGAAATGTAAAGAAATTACAGAAAATTGCTGTGGGGGGGAAAAACGACAGTATTCATCCTTCTATGTAATGATGAAATAGTCAAGGATTTGCATCTCTACTAGATAGAAGAAGTCTTCAAATAGAGGCTGGGACAGTCACATGCTCGAGATACTCTAGTTGTGAAATTCCTGCATTGAGCAAGTAGATGAGAGGAGACAGCTTGTTAGGACCCCATCGAACTATTCTTGTGGCACCTTCAGAACAAATTTATTATGACATTAGTTTTTATGGACTATTTCACATGTCATCAGATGAATGAAGTGTTACCCTTAGTTAGTAGATATACAAGGCACATATGTGTACAGCAGGAAAAAATGTAAACAGTAAGGATAACAGACCATGAAAAGTAAGAGGCAGCAGTAAGCTAGCTGAGTCCAATGTGTAGGAGTATTGTATGTATGCATGTATGTATGTGTGTACATGCCAGTGTGGCATAATGGTTTGAGTGTTGGACTAGGACTCTGGAGACCAGGGTTTGATTCCTGCTTGGCCATGAAACCATGGCCCAGGGGTAGGCATCCTTTCCTCTTTAAAGGCCGAGGGACTTCAGCTCCCAGAATCCCAGGAGCTATTGGCCAACATGGGACTATTGGCCAACATGGCTGAGGCTTCTGGGAGCTGAAGTCCTTCGGCTCTTAAAGGGGAAAGGTTGCCTACCCCTGCCGTGGGTGAACCACACTCTCTCAGTGTCAGTGGAAAGCAATGGCAACCCTCCTCTGAACAAATTTTGCCAAGAAAACCCCATGGCCTTAGGGCTGCCATAAATCGGAATGACTTGAAGGCACACAGCAACAGCAACAGCAACAATGTATGTATGCATGTGTTTATTTCATATCCCCCTTTCTCCCCATGCAAGATCCAATATAGCTTACAAACATTTCTTTAAAAGAGTACAGCTTTAAAATTATTCATACAAAAGTTTAAAAATTGGTTAAATGGTAGTTCACTTGAGAAACACAAGGTTAAAACAATATAATACACAATTAAAACACATTTTAAAATGATAAACCCAGATTAAAAGAGATAAAAACAGACAAATTGCATATTTATTTATTTATTCATTCATTTCATTTTTTATAGCTCCCTTCCTCCAAGGAATTCCAAGTGGTGTCTATACACCATCCCATGCTCCCTACTTTCATGATATCTTAACATCAATTTATAAGATTTTATTTATTTTATATGCCACCTTTCTCCCAGAAGGCACCCAAGGCAGCTCACAGATTAATTATATTTTAAAAATATTGCAATAAAAATTCAAAACAGATAAAATCATCTAACAACCAGGATAAAAAAACCACATAAAACTATACAAAAGCTAAAAGGCTTTTAACAAAATAAGATACCTTTAGCCTGAACAGGAATATGTGTGCACCAGTCTCTGACATTTGATGCTCTGCAACACATTAACTCTTGTTCTGGAAGGATAAAAACAAGAGCCATCAATTTACAGCATCAGCAGTTGGGGATAATGTTATCTTTCTAGTTAGCTGTATTACAGTAATTTAACACCCTTCAGGGCTGATTCATCAGTTTCGGGCTGGAGTTTTTCTTTGAAATGTTTTTTTGTAGAAGAATGGTGACTTTGAAATTAATAGAACAGAATCTTGAGAACTTTATTGTGAGGCTGCCTCTCTCACATTTGCTTTTCTTCAGCTGCCCCTAGACTGTGGAATGACCTGCCAGAAGAGATTCGGCAGCTGAACATGCTGTCCAAATTTAAAACAGCACTGAAGAACAGTCTCTTCTGGCAGGCTTATCCAGATGATTTTCAAATTGTGAATTTTAAATGTGGATTATTTTAATGGGTCTATATCTTGTACTTTAAAATTGTATGCATGTCCTTTTAAACTGATGTGTATTTTCATTGCTGTGTTTTATCTCATGTGCTGTGTCTGTTAATTGTTAATAATAATAATAATAATAATAATAATAATAATAAT